AGTAACCCCAGGAAGGGCATAAACATCAGGAAGGACGGTGCGTGACCTCTCCTTATAAACCCACCAGATGAGGGGCGTGGGTCATGAAGGCAGAAAATAAATTATTCTGGAAAACAAAGTTGTAATTCTTATATAGCCAAGTTTATGCATTGAGAATCATACCTTCTACACCCAAAATTATGTTGTTTTAATTTTAATTTTATTTATTTATTTATTTATTTATTTATTTATTTTACACTTTGAGCACCAAAGCAAGAATCCTGTTTCAATCGGGGTCCCACAGTGTTTGTGCCACAAGTCGATGGCCTTGCTCACAATTTCATCTGCGCTGTCCTGGGGAATATTTTCCAGAAACGTTGTTATCTTCTCTGAACTGTTCAGTGCCATTACTTTTAGTTTAAAGGTAAACACTAGTATCTTACAGGATCCGCTTACAACTTTATCCCAAACCCTCTGAGAACTGGATTCGGGCAAGCACCCTGCGAAGCACCTCTTGAACCACAGATCATAAGGCAGTCTGGACACTGCAGAACACATCTTCAGGTGACTCGGCAGCCTGGTATCCTCCAGATTCAAGGACTGTTCACAAAAGCCTTTGGCAGCTGGGGTAAGGACGGTACTTGTTGTTTAACTGGTTCCCAAAGCATCGGGTGATCCAGTAACAGTCGACACTATCTTCCACCATCTCTTCCATGGCCTTAGCAATGGCAAGAAACACTTCATCTTCTGGCCTCAGCGGGGAGGAGGGACTTTGAGGCAACTTTCCAGACTCTAGCAGATACATGCGGAGATAGACTTCACCCTGAGCTGTGGCATCGCTGACAAAGCAAACGACTTTCAGGGCATGAAGGACGACATCCAAGTACTGCCCCTTAGGATACATCATCCCCGGGGCGTGGACTCACGGTGTGGAGGCAGGATCCCTAGATGCACCTTCCATACCAATGCACGGGACATAGACGGGAGAGGAAACCTTTGACTAAAAGTACAAAGTTTCTCAATATCCAAACGGTCAACTTTTAGGAGAATTTCTAATGATTTCTTTTCTTCAACTCCACGAAAACCCACTTTCTCATAATATACTGACCGAAAGTTTCTCTGAGAATCCTCAGTCATGTTTCACTCTCCAGTAGTGGCAACCGTGGTTGGGACAAAGTGGTCTGGGGGAGGCCGCGGAAACCAAGCCACTGGCGCTGACCGGCGGGCAGGCGGGCGACGTGGGGGCCGGCCGGCCTGGGGACCTGGGCGGCACTAGCGCCCGGCGCCGCCCACCGAAGAAACAGCCTCCCCGCCACCCCACCCCCGCTGCCGCCGATCGCTGCCTGTTTTAATTTTTAAAACCAAATATGTGTTGTTTTTATAATAAAGAAATGGCCATCATTGCCTTCCCACATATCCTCTTCTAAGTGAATCCATTCTCTCACTAGCACCTGTTCTTAGCTGGTTCACTCATATTCTCTCTCTGGAGAATTTGAAACTGGAATACTAAGGGAATAAATTAGGAAGAGCAAGAGAATGAAGCAGATGCAGGGATGGAGATGACAGACAGGATGGGTCCTGAGAGACGAAGGAGTAACATTGATTCCTAATAGATATTTCAGCCCATTTGACCCTGGCTATAATTAGCTTTAGATGCTGGTGAAGATAATAAATTTCCCACTGTTGAGCTAGTTGGAGTTCTCTTCCTATCAACTAGATCTCAGATCAAGCATTTAACATGAAGGATCCTTTTCATTTCTGAAGCATTCTTATATTACATATCCCATTGGGAAAGATCACTGTTTCTTTTAACTTTGTCTCCATAGATAGAGCTCTATGTGTTCACTTGTTGGCTCTGAAAAATTCTTTATCCTTCTACTGGCCTCCTACCACTATCTGGTTCACAAGAACGGTTAGCAGATTTTAATATCTACCTAAGCAAGCTATCCTTAGGAAGATAAATCAGCTATTTCCAAGGGAGAAAAGCATTGGTCAAACACAACGACTTGTAGAACATTTACATCATTGCTTCTTTGTAGTTCTAAAGTAATTGAAAGTTGCCCCATGCACATTTTTAAAATACATTTTATTGATTTTTTTACAGAGAGGAAGGGAGAGAGATAGAGAGCTAGAAACATCGATCAGCTGCCTCCTGCACACTCCCTACTGGGTATGTGCCTGCAACCAAGGTACATGCCCTTGACCGGAATCAAACCTGGGACCCTTGAGTCCACAGGCCGATGCTCTATCCACTGAGCAAAACCGGTTAGGGTGCCCCATGCACATTTAAATCCAATAATCATTTCTCTCTAAAATAAAACAGTGGGCTAAGATCAGGATGTAGGCATAGTGGGCTCCATTATCAAACTGCATTCAATTTTGAGACTAGATGACTGCAGGCATTTTCAGAGGCACATCTATGGTCTGTTTCCAGCCATAACTCTCTCTGAGTATGGTCACATTGGTTGAATAATATCAATATACAAATTTATTGGTGTTCCTACTGCATGCAAAGCACTGTACTATGTATAACGAGGAATTAATTTAGTAATTTGAAAGCATCTATCGAGCACCCACTATGTACTTGACACTTTGCTCAGTGCTAGAAGTATCACTATGATTAATATCCTAGTCTTGCTTTTGAGGAATAGCACTTCACTTCCCTGGTTCTCAGTTCTCCTATCTTAAATGAGAGAAATGAAATAGATAATTTCTAAGATCACATCTAGGTCTATACTTTTTGATTCTCAAAAATTTCCCCTAGATCTTTGTACTTCTTTCTGGTGTGTGTGGAGAAATTGTTGTTGTTTTAGTTCAAGGAGAAGTTTACTAGTACAATAGAGGCTTAAGAAAAGTTTTCAAATATACATTACAAACAATATATAATGGTTTGCATTCAGTAGTACAATGCTTCTTTGTTAGAGGTTAATTCTTTCTCTATGGAATTTTATGGATGATTGGTCTTTTTAAAAATATATCTTTATAGATTTCAGAGAGGAAGGGAGAGGGAGTGGAAGAGAGAGATAGAAACATCAATGATGAGAGAGCATAATTAATCAGCTGCCTCCTGCATGCCCCCTACTGGGGATGGAGCGTGCAATCTGGGCATGTGCCCTTGACTAAAATTGAACCCAGGACCCTTTAGTTCACAGGCTGACACTCTATCCACTGAGCCAACCCGGCTAAGGCTGGTAGCTTGGTCTTTATTTAAGACTAGTGACCTGGGGCATGAAATTTGTGCACATTAAAAGGGAATTAATTAGAGAAAATATTTTAATATTGCTATTTGCCCTTTCTCTATAATAGAAGTGTCAGAGATGAAAGGAAATTAGTAAATGTATATAAAAATCTTCCTCTTGTCAGAAGTCTGGGGCGCACCACTGGAACCAGAGTCAAGTCCCTTGCCTA